GGTGCTGCTGCGCCAGATGCTGCTGCCGCAGCTGTATCGTGCTTCTACAAGTCTTGCTGCTGCTGCTGCTGCTGCAGCACCGGCAAAGGTGGAGCTTCGCTGCGGCAGCTGCGCCGGATTGGCTAGCTTAAAGAGCCTGCCGCTATAGCACTTGCTGCTGCAGCACTTGCTGCTGCAGCACTTGCTGCTGCAGCACTTGCTGCTGCAGCACTCGCTGCTGCAGCACTTGCTGCTGCAGCACTTGCTGCTGCAGCTGCAGCGGTTGTTGGGAACATGCAATATGGGTCTGTGGGCCTGAGGTGTACGTACACCTGCAGCAGCAGATCTTCGCCTCATTGAAAACCTTCAGGGAAAAGTGCAAAGAACTCCGCAAACCCTAAACCCTAAACCCTAAACCCTAGTTGACTGGGCAGGAGCCCTAGAGAATAGGCAGCAAAGAAAGGAGCAGCAGCAGCAGCAGCATTACATGCAGCGGGACAAACCCCAGTGCAGCAGCTGCAGCAGCTGCAGCAGCAGGTTGCTGCGGTCTCTGGACTGCAGCAGATGGAAAGGCTGAGCAGCAGCAGCTCAGCGCGCATCTAATAAGAGGGATACGCTGTGCGCCGGCAACAGCAGCAGCAGCAGCAGCTGCTGCTGCTGCTGCCCTGAGTGCAGCAGCCCAGGGCTGCCCACAGCTCAATGCAGCTAGCTGCAGCAAACCAGAGCTAGCTGTGGCTAGCTAGAAGCCATTCACTAGGCACCGCAGCTAGCTGTGGCTTGCTGCTGCTGCCTGTAGCTAGCTGTGGCTAGCTGCTGCTGCCTGTAGCTAGCTGTGGCTAGCTGCAGCTGCTGCAGCAGTACACAGCTAGCTGTGGCTAGCTGCAGCTGCCCGCCGCAAGGCACAGCTAGCTGTGGCTAGCTGCAGCAGGACACAGCCAGCTGCAGCTGTCTGCAGCAAGACACAGCTAGCTGCAGCTGCCTGCAGCAAGACACAGCTAGCTGCAGCTGCCTGCAGCTAGCCAGCTGCCTGTTTGCTGCTGCAGCAGCCCGGGGCGCATGCAGCAGCCCGGCTGCCCCACTAAGCTGCAGCAAAACGAGCAAACCCTAAACCCTAATCCTAAACCCTCAATAAGGGTTTGCGGCAGGTCGGACTAGAGAGACGAGGCTAGCTGGCATATACGCAGAGTCCGCACCTAAACCCTAAACCCTAAACCCTAACCCTCGGGCTGGCAGCGCTGCCAGCTCTCGCCAGCAGCCGGCGCAGCTAAGTCCGTAAACCCTAAACCCTCGAAGTTGCAGCTATTAAGTGTTTTAGGCGCGAAAAACCAGCAGCAAAGTGTGCAAAACCCTAAACCCTCGGCGCATGCAGGCAGCAGCCGCGGCCGCCTGTAGGCAGCAGCAGCGACAGCCCGTCGCTGCAGCTCGCATTTGTTTCTTTTCTTTACAAGAAAATAGAAAAGAAATTAAATTAAATTAAAAGATAAAAGAAGAAGCTGCTGCTGCTCCCTGCAGACTGCAGCCGACCGACCACCCAGCAGCAGCAGCAGCAGCAGTAGCAGCAGAATGACTCCAACGCCGCAGGAACAAGAGCAGCTGCTGCAGAGCATTCGGCAGCAGCTGCAGCAGGGCACAGCAGATGTCAACCGCTGCAGCGAGCAGCTATCGCAGCTGAAGCTGCTGCAGGTTGCTGCGCTGGCGGGTGTTGCTGCAGCAGCAGCAGCAGCAGCAGCACCGGAGCCAGCTGAGGCGCAGCGGCTCATCCTGGCCCGCAGCACCTTCGAGACAGCAGCAATGCTCTGCGTCTACCAGCTGCAGCAGCAGCAGCAGCAGCAGCAGCAGCAGCCTCAAGACGAAGAGACTCATGAGCAGCAAATGAAAGACACAGCAGATGCATTCCAAAGACACATGAATATGCTGCAGCCCTTCTACGCCGACTTGGCCCACGTACTCAAACCCTAAACCCTAAACCCTAAACCCTAAGCCCTTGTTGCTGCTGCAGGGCTTGCTGGCCGGCGGTGCTGCATGCAGATCGCGGGCTGTCGCCGCTGCGAGCAGCAGCAGCAGCAGCAGTAGCAGCAGCAGCAGCAGCAACGGATTAGCTGCTGCTGCTGCAGCAAACCCCCCGCTGCGTGCGTGCGTGGAGTGCTGCTGCTGCTGCTGCTGCTGCTTTGAGTATCTGAGCCCAGGCGCCACATTGAGTTTGTTCGCTTTTGCTGCTGCATTGTTTGCTGCATCCGGTGCTGCATTATTTACTGCAGTAGCTGCTGCATGAGCTGCTGCACTGGCTGCTGCGTCAGCTGCTGCTTAAGCTGCTGCACTTGCTGCTGCTGCTGCTGCTGCTGCAGGTGCTGCCGCCTTCGGAGCTGCAGCAGGAGCTGCAGTGTCTGCAGCTGCTGCACTACTTGTCGGGGGACTGCATTGCTGAGCTGCACGTGGCCCACGACAGGCTTTCTGAGGAGGTGTGGGGCCCCACACCTGCTGCTGCTGCTGCTGCTGCTGCTGCTGCGGCTGCTGCTGCGTAGCCCCAGCCAAGCGCTAAACCCTAAACCCTAAATTGGGGTTTGCGGCGCAGGTGCGGAAGAGCCCCTACGTGCAGACTGTGATGCAGCTGGAGCAGCGGCTGATGTCGGGGGACTATGAGGCGGTGATGCAGCAGCAGCAGCAGCAGCAGCAGCAGCAGCAGCT